GAGCCGGCAGTGTTGGTCTACAGCTGCACTAGCCACTAATAGAAAGAGATCATGAGGACGTTAGCATTTGCACTACTTTCCTCTATTGAATTTATAAGCTATATCCTATAAGATTAGAGTTTAAGTCTGCATGTGCATATACTTCAACGTAAGATACTGCAGTAGCTAAATAGCAATAGCAAGTAATCTTTACACAAAAATTGATACTTTTGACAAGTATGTGCTATTAATGTGAAGCGGAAGTGAGAAAAAAAAGTGTTTATTACGTTTGAAATATGGATATTTATCTTACAAAAATGCATGGATTCGCTACAGAAGGCCTTTATTCACCCCCCGGAGCTGCGTGAGGTACGTTTTATTACGGATGCGCGCACTTTATTTCACATCTTCTGAACATCTTCTGACAACTGACACCCGCTTACCCCCACTGAAAGGCTTGGAGGGGCCAGGACAATTTTTAATATAACTCCGATTGGATTCATCTGAAAGAAGAAAGTCACATACACCTAGGATGCTTTGAGGGTGAGTAAAACAGGCTAATTTTCATTTTTGGGTGAACTAACCCTTTAAGTGAATTGTTCTGTTGTGGGTGGTCTCCTTTCAAAATCTGACAAACATTGCTCTACACCAGGTGTGACCATTTGGGCACAAGAACAGCTTCTACAGAGGCTTCTCATCCCCCATACACAGATGCAATCTGTTTGGGGCCGAGAATAAATGTTTATGGCCCTTTTCTTCTGTTAGTATTTAAGGGAAAGTTGCAAATCAGTCATTGGATTCTGTAGTCAGAAAACCCAACACCGCACATGTGAGACTCTGGAGCTTTGCACTAGAACTCTCATACTGCGGTGTGTCTCTCTGCTGTCAGGTATGCATTTCGTTTTTGATTCAAATATGTAATTGTGTTAAACAGATTCTGCCCATAGAGCACACTGTATAGTTTTTTGTGCTACTACATGTGCACATAGGCTAGTTAAGTTTATTCTCTAAAACACATGATTGCTTTGCTGTAAGTGTTCTTTGAAATACTTAGGTAAAAGATTGTAGATGCTATGCATTTAGACCGTGTGTCTTGTGTTAAATTAGGATAACTGTTACATGTGTGACTATGTTAAATTTGTTTGTCTCCTACGTGGATCACTTGGCTATTCCCCATATAGCCACAGTGTCCATGTACAGGAGCAGGGTTGCCACGTGGCTCAGTTGCATTATCCTTTCTAAATTTGCTTCTAATTGATTCATTATGTAATTGGCATGATACAATTTTACCTGACTAATAATAAAATGTTTTATTTGATTTATTCTGAACTCTCCTGAAATCATTATGACTAGTAAACTGTGGAGGCTTTTGTTACCGCAAATCTACGGCCAGGATAGGTCAAACTGAAGGCTCATGAATGATAGGAGCAGTAGGCACGTCATCGGAGACCTTCTGATTTCTGTCTATCGCTGATGTTAGCAAGTTGTACGGGAAAGGACTAAGTGAACTACACTTTTTGTCATAAGCAAGCAGTAGGCGGCAGGCAAAACCGGTATTAGTCTACCTACACCCTCTGACTAGCTTCAGACTATACATATTTACCTGACTGATAATAAATTGTTATATTTGATTTATTCTGAACTCTCCTGAAATCATTATGACTAGTAAACTGTGAGGAGGCTTTTGTTACCGCAAATCTACGGCCAGGATAGGTCAAACTGAAGGCTCATGAATGGTAGGAGCAGTAGGCACGTTATCGGAGACCTTCTGATTTCTGTCTATCGCTGATGTTAGCAAGTTGTACGGGAAAGGACTAAGTGAACTACACTTTTTGTCATAAGCAAGCAGTAGGCGGCAGGCAAAACCGGTATTAGTCTACCTACACCCTCTGACTAGCTTCAGACTGGCGAGAGTTTGTGATCGTAAGATCCATGTAAGGCCAACGTGAGACTTGTCAGATTTAAACGAGAAAGGAGTCAGAATTAAATTAGAAACCAAAGTTTTGATAAATCAGGTAGTTTTTCCAAAAGCGCGAGAAAAGACCGAACACGTATCAAACCTTCAACCAGGCCGCTGGACTCCGCTTTTTGGGCCGGCGGGTGGATTCTTACAAAAGTAATGATAAAGACATTTATAATGTTACAAAATATTGGGGTGGATTGGTCTATGGGAAATAGTCCTGCCACCACAGCTGGAAAAAATCCTAGAGGAAACACTGATGAGTAATGTCCTAATCGAACAGTAAGACTGTTAAACCATACCACAAAGTCCTACACAAGACTAGTGTTGTGTTTGGCAGCCGTCTCGTCTCGTTTTCGTCACGTGATAAAGGTTCGTTGACGACGATATTTAGTCATAATTTTCGTTGACAAAGCAACACTACACAAGACTCCAGGTGTGACAGAAGAATGCAGTGGTCAACTAAGTCAAATGCAGCGCTTAGGTCTAAGAGGAGCCATTTGTTTCCCTGCATCTGTCGTGAGAAATATGTCATTTAAGACTCTTAAGAGGGCCGATTCAGTGCTATGTAGAGCTTTAAAACCTGATTGATAGACTTAATTAAAGCAGATGGTAATTTGCACTGCTCTTGGTAGATTGCAGTGGTCATTATGGAAATGATCTGGCTGTGCACTATGTGCTTCATTTAGTGGCTTTTGAATTAACTGCTTGTTTTCAAAAATATTATTTAATATTACTACGCTGCATGTAAACATTTTGTGTGTACACTTTACATGTTTTTGCTCAGGTGGCCAAAATGTCTGTCTAATAGAGAAAAGTTTTGATCAGCAAGAGAATAAATGAGAGGAAACATTGCTTATGAATACCCAGCATTAACTGTTAACCCTGGGTAAATTGTGAGCAGTGTGAAACCTGAAGCAAAATAACCCTGGACTCCTTTTATCAGGGGTTTAGAATGAACCAGGGTTAAGTATTTCAAGTGAGAGAAGCCCTATGGTGAGTTCGCACTGGAGAAAATTCATTGTAGCAAGAATGCTATCAGTTCTCTTTATAGTGCATCAACCTGTTTTGTACAACAGGTGATCTTATTCTGGGTATACATTAAGGTTACTTTTTGTTTTGCATTTTATTCTTACCAGATGTTTTTCCCAAATTATTAAATATGAGATTTTAGAAGCTAGGCTAACTGGTTATCAGTATGCTAAGTTAGGGTGCTAACTAGTATAAGAATGATTATTATTTAATTTCTCAGTCAATAGATTCGTTACTCTTACCATTAAAAGTTACATGTAATTGAAAAGTCAGTTATAATCATTTACATTAAGACAACATATCATTAGTTGAATTTGTACGTTCTAATCCGACACAACATGGCGTATATGCACATTTAAAGGTCTTTCAGCCAGAGGAATCACTTAAAAGACCCCTTTTTATGAAGAACAAGAACATTTAAGGACCCATTTGTTTCAGATTATCACAAACCTGGCCCGATTGTAAATTTCAGGTAAAATCAATGTTAAAATCAAGTAATATTACCAGGCCTACACAACTTTTTACTGTTACTTTTAAAAAATATTGAAAAAATATAAATTAAAAATTTTAAATTAACAATCTTACCTGCAAAGATCAACACTTGGAAAAAACGACGCATTCTTCACATGCAATCTTTTGGCAGTGATGTGAACTGCTTCGTTGCAAACATTAAAAAGACACCTATAACGCAGACACACAGCTTTATCTGGCTTTACCTACTTCCTTCTCCTTTCTTCTTTATTAGTGGTTGGCAAATCAGCTTAAGAGGCAAATCCACCACCTACTGGGATGGAGTGTGAAATCAAGATAGAAGGCGACAAGAAAAGTTTCTTAGGGGCCGTTTACACGACAGCGTTTTCAGCCAAAAACGGGAAACTTTTCATGCGTTTTGCCTGTTCGTTTACACGACAACAGCGTTTTGGGGACTGAAAACGCATATTTTTGAAAACGGGTTTCAAAGTGCAATTTTTTTTATTGAATCACTCAAATTCAACACTTTAAAGTAGCCAGGGGGTGAACACAAAGAAAAAGAGATACAATGAAATACTAAAATTACAATGAAATAAAGAGAAAAAAATAAATTACAAAAAAACATGGAAATGTTTACATACAGTACATTAATACACTTAATGTTACGGAAGGAGACTCACACAGAGGGTTAGAAAAGTATAACAATGTTTATTTTCAGCAAGGAGTGCGGATGGATAGGGCAGGTGAGAATATGAACTAGGGTAATGGTCCTGAAGGGAGATGAGAAGAGTAACTCCGTATGGGGTCCTCACAGGAGATCGTGGAAGGGAGACAGAGGACTGCACACACCTCAATTGATGGGTACACGGGGAATCCACGGAGCAGATGACGGGAACGGAACACAGGAATACACACTGGAGGAAACACAGGAGGTAAGTATCATCACCTAGGAGGGAGAAGAATGCCTTCCATACCCTGGAGATGAACTGTGGGCCACGGTCTGAGACAATGTCCTCGGGAATGCCATAATATCTGAAGAAGTTGTTAAACATGATTTCAGCTGTCTCCATGGCTGCGGGTAGACCCCTGAGGGGAAGAAGACGGAAAGATTTAGAGAATCGATCAATGACTACAAGAACACATGCGTTACCATCCGAGGCTGGTACTTGATAGCCAGGAGCTCCCTGTTGCCGATGTCATAATTCCTCTCCGCCGGGTTGAGTTTGCGTGAGAAGGCACATGGATGGAGTTTGGCTGGTGTCCCCTGCTGCTGAGAAAGTACGCCTCCGACTCCTGTAGTGGAAGCGTCCACCTCACCCACAAATGGTTTATTGGGGTCTGGATGGATGAGGAGCGGGGCAGAAGTGAAGGCTTTCCTAAGTGCTTCAAAGGCCTCCGTGGCAGCTGGTGTCCAGGACAGAGATTTGGGCTTATTTTGGAGCATGTTAATGAGTGGACTGGTTATGGAGCTGAAGTGGTAGATGACTCTTCTATAGAAGTTTGCGAATCCCAGGAATCGTTGA